ACGACTTTTTAATCTTTAGAATATCCGTAGATGTAGAGGAATCGATCAGCTGCTGATGTGAGACCAGAGATCGTAAAAGAAAAGCATACGTTACATTTTTTATAAGCTAATTTGTGGAGGCTTTGAGGACCAACAACAACAATCTGAATTCTCTGTTTAACGGCACAAACTCTTCAGACTTACACTCCGTCACAACCGTAAACTTTTTCAGTTTATCCCACTTTGGTTTCTTTCAGTCTCCACTAACCTTCTGAACTCCAAACAGCTTCTAAGCATTTCTTCTGAGTTTTTCATCACTGTGGCTCATTTTTCTCTGCAATATAAAGTCCTGCACCTCTATGGAGGCAGGATGAAGGAGGAGACAGAACTCAGAAATGTGCTCTGTCAGGATGATGCTGTTGAAATGCCGTAAATCATAAAAAAGTAAAAAACAAAGTTTATCTGATCTGAATTGCCCACATGTGTTACCAGCACTGGAAACAATGACGGTTTACAATCTGTACAAATGTTTTCTCTCTACATCACCCATAGAAAGATGTTTCACCATCAGCTGGATGTATCTTCCAACAACTTGCCACACTGCATTTATTTATTGATCCAGTAGGTTTTATTTTTCTACCTGCAGTTCAACCTGAAAGCTCTCTGAAGCTTCGTCACGTCACTGTTGATTCCAGCTGAGTCAGTCAGAACTTCTCAGTTGCGTTGAGGAGTGCAAAAATTTTTGTTTTTTTACAGAATCTGTTCATATTTGGCACTTCTTTTTATTCCAACATAGGATATTTTGATTAAATATCCCATTTTTACTCCCAGATTTGGTTAATTCAGAACTGTTTATGACACACGATTAGTTCAAGTGACGTCGGAAAGTTGAAAAATGCAGTTTTTTTTAGGGTGACCGCATTTTGATTACCGAAATCCAGGACACTGAGCCCGGTGATGAGATGCTCAGAGTTTACTCCAAGATGCTTTATCATTTCAATACATTTCAAACCAGGATATTTTCACCACTTTATGAAAAACCACCAGGACAGGACGTGAAAACAGGACGTTCGGTCACCCTATTTTTTATTTTATTTTACATTTCTATCTTATAAATGGTTCACTTTTGGTGATTTATTGCAAAAGAAAACATGTTTTTTCAGACCGTCCTGCATGTTTTGGGGTCTGGAGGGTTAAATATCACCACGATGACCCACGACATCCTGGAATAGCACAACATGTCGTCCACATTTCTTTTTGTTCTGCTCCATAACTTTCCCTACGTCTCCACACAGCCCACAATAGACTGTTTAACAATAACCCGATCAGATTCCTCAACACGCTGTATGTTTTATGAACCTGCACACAGTCACATCTGCAGTGGTTCTCTAATGAAGAGCGTTTAGAGAAGAAGTGAGCAGGAGGGGAAGCAGGTTTTTTTTTTGGCCGTTTATTACAGATGGAGAGAATGGAGGTCAGATACATGAGCAATGAGGACACTTATCAGGCTGCGTCATCCTTTTTTTTTTCCGGCCAAATGCATGAAACGTGACAGTTTATATGAAGCACACTCTGACTCCTCTCAGGAAGCCAGTTTTACAGACTCGTCACTTCGTCTTTAAATGCAGCGTTACTGACAATACAAACGGAATATTTTAGTTTTTTATGACCAGACGAGGAAACAATCTTTGTTTTAGATGTTGGTTTTGTCGGTGTGGAGGCCAGACTGCAACACTTTAGAGCAGTGAACAGTTTAAAGCTTAAATTTCTGCTCATAAAAGTGATGTGATGCAGCATGAAGCTGGAAAAAGCCCTGAATGAACAGGAAGCAGCAGAGCGTCAACTTTGACCCTCATCCAGTGTCCAGGAGGATCATCAGCTGAGGAAATGCCTCCTCTTGGTGGACAATCAGCGGTACTGCATCAGTTAATTAGAGAGTTTTATTCCCTTTAAAACGTCGTATTTTATAGTATAAGTAATAAATCTGCAACTATCGATCAGTTAGTGATCAACTATTACATTTATTACTGTTTTTGATAACTGGGTAGTTTCTCAAGAAAAAAAAGGTCTAAATTCTGTGATTGCATGAATATTTTCTGCTTTCTTTCCTCTTCTGTCACTTCAAGCTGAATGTCTTCATGTTGTGGGTAGAGGTGCAGACTTTGAAGAATTTATTGATTAAAAATCAGCAACACTAACAATCAATAATGAATGAAATACAGTCAAGTTTTTTCCCCATATGTTGATGGAGCCGTTTGTGAGCACAGATGCTTGGTCGTTACTGTAAAATTGGCTCCGTTACGTTACAAATATTAACTTACAAACAGGATATCTGGAGAGTTTAGAGCTTCCTGTTATGTCTGAGCTCCGTTTGTCTTCCTTTGCTCGTCCATTCTCTGGAACGTAACCGTCTGGCTGCACCTCAGTATCATCCTACTGCAGGAGAAAAGCCATGGCTCGGGATATCTGGAGTATTTAGAGCTTCCCATTGTGTCTGGACTGGTTCGTCTCGCTTTTCCAGACCGTTCTGTAGAACGTAGCGGTACAGCCGCACCACAGTATCATCCTGCTGTGGTGGAAAAAGCACAACACAGGATGTCTGGAGAGTTCAGGGCTTCCTGCTGAGTCTGGGTTTGTCTTCCTTTTCCAGTCTCTTCTGTAGATCATACCGGTCCGGCTGCACCTCAGTGTCGTTCTGCTCTACGAGGTGTGTCAGAAAAGTTCCAGGACTGGTTTCACAGAAGATATATTTCAAACCCAAACCAGAAACTAGGAGTTTCCCCTTCAGACGATCAACCAGCTCGTCTACAAAAAGATCCTGCAGCGTTCGTGGCTGCTTCACCATGACAACCTGCTCACAACGCCCTGAGCATCCCACAGCTCCTGGCTGAGAAGAACATCTCCGTGCTGGAGCAACCTCCCTGCTCACCCTACCTGGCTCCGTGGGATTGTTTCCTCTTCCTCAAGCTCAAGGGGGTCATCAAGGGGACCCGTTAAGAAGACGTGGAGACATCAAGATGGCTGTGAGGACGGAGCTGAAAGGATCCTTCCATGGTGGCGTGAAGGAAGAGAAGGCTGGGAAGTGGTTAGACTCCAGGACGATTACTTCAGAGGAGAAAACTGGTAGTTAGGTTTTGAAATATATCTTTTGTGACACCAGTCCAGGAGCTTTTCTGCCACCTCGTAGGACGAAAAGCACAACTCAGGATGTCTGGAGGATTTAGAGCTTCCTACTCCGTCTTGGTTTGTCTTCTTGCTCGTCCGTTCTGCATCTTAGTGTCGTTCTACTGTCGGACAAACAGGTGATATCTGGAGAATTTACAACTTCTTTAGTACAATCGATGGAGAAGCAGGTATGAGTGAAGACCTGCAGCGACTACATCAGTTACAACTCTGTTCATGAGGAACTATAACGGTGTGGATGATGGAGAACTTCCTCCTAGAACCTCTCCTGATACCAGACATTTTGTTTAAGCACCACTTGTTTTGCCGGCATGTGCAAACCGTCGCAGGTTTAGGCGGATGACGACATTTACGAGGCGGCCTTCAGGGCGAGTCGGTGTGTTTGTGAGACGTGGGATCGGCCGACATCCTGGGAGCGACTGTCAGCAGGAATGCTCGCATGAACAAAGACGGGATTGTGCTGAGGACACACAGGTGTGTGTTGTATGAGACAGAAAGCACATGTAGCGCACAGACACACACTCCTGTTGTGTGTGTGTGTGTGTGTGTGTGTGTGTGTGTGTTGCATGTGCTCTGGGCCTCATACCTCCAGACTGCATGTTGACTCTCCGCTCTTTGTCCGCTGTATCCACTGTGGATCTCATTGTGGCAGCCCAGTGAATAGCGGCCGCCGACCTCATCAGATCTTCTTTCTCCTCTTTTTTTTTCCCTCCCCAGGTCTCTCTCCCTCTTTTTATTCCCCCTCTCTCCTCTCCTTTATTTTCTGAGCCTCTTTGTTCGGCCCGTGCTTCCCCTCATTTCCTCATTTCCTCCTGCTGGCTGTAATCGTCGGCTGCTCGCCGGCGGCCTTTTCATAAACGCCTGTTTACCGGCGGCCTCGAGCTGGACGCTGACGTCTGACGGACTCTGTGTTCCCAATTGACAGCAATTAATTATCTGCTGGTGTGCAAACTGCAGCGCAGGACGGTTAAAGAAGACGGCGAGCACTTGACAGAGACAATGGGATGTTTTAGGTCGTAGAGGAGAGCGACGGTTCAGGAGTTTACTGCCTGTAACAAGACATTCATATGAACCTGCAGCGCGTTCATCATCAGATACGTCGTCTGTTGTTTGTCAGACACAAGTTATGGATGAAGATGAAGCGTTTTTAAAGTCAAGTGTTGGAATTTAGGAACAAGACGGTTTTTTGGGGCTGATTGTTCACTTAATTATAAGAATATATATAAATAAAATATCACAATAGTTGTCCTGTGAAGTGGATTATAAACGTCTGTGTGAGGATATCATCTCTGCCTCAGTGATTACAGTTAATAAAGTTTTCTTTATTTACATTTCAGTTATTTTGCTCGTGTTTTGGTGTAAATTCATCACATTTATATTTTCATTAAATCATTTTTATGATCCACTCTGTTTTATTTCTGTCTTTATACACTTTTTAATGCATTTTTTAAAACTAATTGTATTTTATTGTTTTTTTTATTACATTTTTATCATTTTACTGATTTATTTATTTATTTTAATTCTAAGTTTTTAAATCTGTTGTTATTCTACAGTTATTTTTTGCATTGCTTTGTAATGCACTTGTGGTAACTTCTGCTCCATTTAATGCTAACAGTGCATTTTAAAAATATGATTTTAGCACAAGAAAGTGCTGACATCATGTATTTTGCGATTCACCTTTATTGATTACGTTCATTTATCAGAAACAAACCAAATGTCGGAGCTGATCGCTGTGACTGATCGGCAGCGGTTCGTCTACAGATGTTCTGTGAAACTCACTGGACAGGAAGAAAAGTGAAAGTAAAAGTGCTGAAAGTTTCCCTGTGTGTGTGTTGCAGAACTCCAGGTTGACTCTGGTGTGTGAAGATCCAGACTGCTGGATCGGTCGCCTCCCTCTGACCTCCGACGCCTCGGCAGCCAACTGCAGCATCTACAGCCAAGGTGAGTTCACCTGTCCACACGGAGGAGCTTCAGACTAACCTGAATGTACATCGACTGTTTACATGTTTACAGCTTCTACAAACTCTATAAAGATGTTTCACCATCAGCTGACTGTATTGTCCAACAACCTGCTCCTCTGTTCTCTGGTTCTGAGCTGTGCTGCTTTTATTTATTGATCCAGTAGGTTTGGGTTTCCTCTCTGCTCTGAGGAAACACTGGCTGCAGTTCAACCTGAAAAAAAACAACAGCTTTGGAGCGCAGAGTGTTTGGTTTTGTACAAAATTAAATGGTTTATTTTTGGTGATTTTCTTTTAACAAGACGTAGAAAAAAAATATTTTGATGAAATGTGACGATTTTCAGCTCAGATTTGATTAATTCTCCTGATTGATCACATGATGCGTTCAAGGACTGTTGGACAGATGAAAGTAAAGTTTCTTGTTCTGATTCATGGTGTAATTTTGGTGATTTTTGAAAACACAACATGCCTTTTGTGTTGCATGTTTTTAATAAGGAATAAAGGCCTTCGTTATGTAGCGGTTACGGTTGTTAACGAACACCCAACTCGTTTCCAGGCGAGCAGCTGTTCTGTAAGGTGAGCAGAGAGCTGGCGGCCGGCGAGCGACTCGTGGCCTCCCTGTCGCCTCCTCCGGCCTCCTCCTCCTCCTCCAGACTCTCTCCTCCGCTCAGCCTCGTGGCCCAGAAGCCGCCGGCGGTGAAGGAGGAGCCTCTGTATCCGGCGGCGCTGCGCTCCGACATCCAGCTGCTCCCGCAGCAGGCCGGCATGGCGGCCATCTTGGCCACAGCCGTCGTCAACAGTGAGTGTTGTTTTAGTTACAGCAAGAAAATACGTTTTTAATGTGTGATTTTACAGTACAGTTTGTTACGGCTGCACGGTTAATGAACAAATATGTTGTCCTTAAAATCAATATATAGTCTAGCTGTTTGGGATTAATGTATTGGTCATAATCATACAGGTCAGGTTGGTTCTAATTTAGCAAAGTTATCAGTTAGAATTGGAGTTATTGTCATGAATAGGCTTCACCACAGGGAATGTTTGGATTTAGTTTTTTTATTTTTAGGTATGATATTGTTGGTTTTACTGTTAATATTTAAATTAGTTCTGTGAATTTACATAATAAATAACATTGCAGGTTTTTAATGGTCATATTTAGATTATATTTAGATAGATATTAGATATTTAGATTGAACACTATTGTGGGCTCTTAAATTCATATGAAAAATAATATTGAGAGTCTTAAATGTAATATTTAGATTAGCCAGTTAGATTTATATGATAAATAATACTGTGTGGTCTTAACATTTAGGGTAGATTTAGATTTTATTGTTGGGTTGTGACCCTAACATTTAAAAAAGTCAGATAAATTTATATAATGATGAATAGTATAAGTTCTTAACTTAGATATTTAAAATATTCAGGTTAAGTTATGCTATAAAAAAAATATTTTAAGGTCCTGACATAATATTTAAATTAATCAGATCAATTTACATGAATAATACTTCGGGTCTTAACCTGAATATTTAAATTAGTCAAAGAAATGATTACAGTAACTAATATTATAGGTTCTTAACATTAGGTCAGCTTTGTAAAGTTGCATAATAACTGACAAAGTCCTGACCTTAATATTTACATTATTGAGGTCATTATATTTAATAAATATTATTGTGATACTTAGTCAGGTAATTCAGCCATAGACAGAACAGTTTAAGTCGACTGTGTAGTTTTGTATAATAAATATTATTATAAGATCTCAACCTGAAGGTTTGAATTAGTCCGATGAATTCATGATGTTTTATTTTGCTTTTTTTTAAATTACTGGAAAACTCCATTTCTGCTGTTTTTAATGTGACGTATAAATAACAGCAGCTTGACTCAAAGCAAATATCTGCTAAAGTTTTATAAAAGGACCTAAAAACACCAAGAACTTAGTAGAAATGCAAATTATTTTTTAAAATCCTAATTATAACTGGTGCCATCACTGTCACTGATCAGCTGTGTTGAGGTTGTAACGCCGTCTCTGGCCACAGGATGGCGCTGTAGCTCTTCACCAGCCAGCAGAGGAGCCGCTGCTGCTCCTTAAAGTCTCCGTTAACTCGGAGCTGCGCAGCCAGTGGTGGAATGTAACTGAGTACATTTACTGGAGTACTGCACGTAATGGTTAGTACAAAGTACTCGAGGCAAATGATCTACTTTTTACTCGACTATTTTTACTCTCACAGCTTCAGTTACTTTTGGGATTACACATTTCATCCTCCTTCCTTCCAGTGAAAACCACGTATCTCTAAATTAGATGATATTTAAAGTGATTTTTTTTTTCTGGCATACTTAAAGATTAAGCCCGAGAAAATCCTCCGACTTTAATTAATGAGCTGCAAAATGTCACAAAGTGGAAAACAGGCTCATTTTAATGAAATCTGACTTTTTAAAATCCACCCGGCAGAATCTAACGTAGTTAAACCTCAGTTATTAGCTGAACCTTCAACATTTAAACCACCACAAACATCACATACAACCTTAAAACACTGACAGGAAACGTTCTGCTTTACATACTTGTAGTACTTCTTGCTGACAACACTTCAACATGCAGTTTTAAAGCAGGACTTGTCCTCATAGTGGAGTATTTTCACACTGTGGTAGGAGTACTTTTACTTGAGTAAAGCATCTGAATACTTCTTCCACACATCTGCTGTGATCAGAATCCTAAACTATTTCCTCCACGTGACACACTGCAGTGAAACAATCACTCCATCGATGAGACGGATGATAATTATCGTCCCCGTAGCCTTTGTTGCCGTGGATACTCGTAGCAGTGGAATGTGATATTATGATATTTTTAATAATTGGAGTTACGTTTTGACGTCGTTAGAAGGAAAACCCTTGTGGCTACAGTTTAATGCTAATTATGTGCTTATGGAGTCAATAATTTATTAGTTTTCAGCAATCACACCAGACGGGAACATTACATAGACCTCCATGTTTAACCCAACGTCAAGTCCGTCAGGGCCAGCAGGGAGGTGTCACCTGATCCAGGGTCGTGGGTGCTTTTAGATCACAAAGCTCATCTTGCAAAAGACGAATCCTGCTCCCCAATGACTACACAAGTGTATATGGAATAAAACAGCTCTATGATTGGTCCATAATGACTTTCATGTAGCTGCCGAACCCGTACTGCTTTGTTGAGTCTCTGTTTAGTCCACTAACTCTGAACTTCTGTCTCTCCGGCCATCAGAGGACATTTTCCCGTGCAAGGACTGTGGGATCTGGTACCGCAGCGAGAGGAACCTCCAGGCCCACCTCATGTATTACTGCGCCAGCCGTCAGAAGCAGCCGGCCGCCGCCTCGTCGCCCCCGCAGGACAAACCCAAGGAGTCCTACCCCAACGAACGCATCTGCCCCTTCCCACAGTGCAACAAGAGCTGCCCCAGCGCCAGCTCTCTGGAGATCCACATGCGAACTCACAGCGGTGAGAGCAACAACATTTATTCACGTATTTACACACCAAACAGGGTCAGGACACGGATAATAAATATAACTAAAATGGCCAGTTCCTGGGAATTGGGTGTCAAATCTGCAAACTTAAGTTTAGATGACATCTCTACCAACTGACCCACCACCAGATGTTCATCATGTTCCTTCACATTTTGCTGCTGTGAAGTGAAAACACCAATAGAGGGCGATCAAAGCTCACAAACGTCTACCACGGCACTTTTTCTCCTCAATAATCAAATCGGTTTTAGTCACGTGAAATGCAACAAATGCATCAAAATGTCCTGTACTTATTTGCACTGTGTTCGTATTTTGAATTTGTATTCTTTATATATTCTTTTTTTTGTACACTGGGATTATGATAGATGGCATTTCATTTTCTCTGTATGCACTTAACATGCAGAGATATTGACAATGAGGTTCACTGTGCCTTTGAAAATAGGAAGAAACGCAAAATAAGTCAACGAAATTGAAAAATCCTGAGAATAATTTGCATGTTTCCGATCATTAAGGATGATTTTGCAAAGTGAAAACTTTAGAAGCTGTGGAGAAAGTCTGCAGCTCATTGACTTTCAATCAAAAATACAACGGCTCATTTAAATTATATTTGAACATTGTGAGAGTGAATACCCTTATGGCTACATTTTAATGCTAATTCTGCACTTATGGAGACAATGATAACCCGTCCTCTGATGGATGAACTCACCTGTTGTCCCTCTCCGTCCAACAGGTGAGCGTCCGTTCGTCTGCCTCATCTGTCTGTCGGCCTTCACCACTAAAGCGAACTGCGAGCGCCACCTGAAGGTGCACACGGACACCCTGAACGGTGTTTGTCACGGCTGCGGCTTCGTCTCCACCACCAGGGACATCCTGTACAGCCACCTGGTCACCAGCCACATGGTTTGTCAGCCTGGATCTCGCAGCGAGGTCTACTCTCCGGGACCAGGACTTCCCAAGCTGCCGCTGTCCACCGGTGAGTCGGACCTTCACGACTGTTTCTGGTCCCGAATCTGATTCTGCTCGTCAGTTCTGGTTCTTCTCGATTGCAGTTGCTTGAGGGGCAGTTGGTTACGCTTTCTGCAAGTACAAGCGATACCCGAATCTAAGCAGAAATGCTGCGCTAGATACTGTAACCAACGTAACCCACTTCACTGTACTTATAACAGAATCCAATCCTGTTTTTGTGAAGTGCTTTTTAAATTTAAAGTGATTGTAAAGACCATTATACAATTTGTGACAGACAGCGATAGATGTACGAGAGGGCCGATAGGGACCTCCTCCTTCTCCTCCACCTTCTGGTCGGCCTGGAGGCACGGTATCATCCATTCCGATTGATAAACCAAAAGTAACACTGATAAATCGCATAAAGTGCAGCTATGTAACATAAAGGGTGTATTTTAACTTAAACCACAAAGCCTAAGTAGTTCTGGTGCCTAAACTTAACCTAAAGGGCAAAATCACAGCTCCACAACTACTACATAAGGCAGTAACGATGATTCGTTAAATGTGGTGAAAGACTAGAAGGTGGAGGAATGAAACGAAACGGTAATGACCATTTGACAGGCTGATGACATCCAAAGCAGGTAACTGGACAACAGATGTTATTCTAAATTCAAATGTAAGCAACTGTAATACTCAACTAACGTTCCCTCTCCTCATCAGGTCTGAGTCCAGGAGATTCTGGAGTGGTGCTCAAGTGTCAAGTCTGTGGACACAACTCGGACTCCCCGTCGCAGCTTCAGCAGCATGTACGAACCCACCTGGAGGTCAGGGTCCCGGCTGAAAGGAGCCCCACTCCTCGCCAAAGCACCCCATCATCGATCGACCACCCCCAGCCGTCTCCCCAGGAGAAGGAGCCCCTGGCCTGTGTCCCTAAACCCGACTCGTCCAGCCCGGGTGCAAACGGTGGCTCGGCCACACCTCGAGACTACAGTCCTTCTGACGCCCAAAGCATGGACCTGAAGATCAAAGAGGAGCCTAATTCAGAGTCGGATGCAGAGGAGCAGCAAATGGAGATTAAGGAGGATGGAGACGAGGAGGAGGAGGTTAGGGGAGAGGAAGTGGATCTAGAAGCAAGGAGGAAGACAAAGGAGGAGCCAGCTGCCACCACCTCCTGCCAAACATCTCCGAAGAGTCCAGCTACCACAACTGTGAAGGCAGAACCGACTAGTCCAACCCCTGGTTCCAGCCCTGCCCATGTGGGAGGAACCGGCTCAGTCGTTCCAGGAGGAGCAATGTTCTTGCCTCAGTACATGTTTAACCCTGAGGCAGCCATCTTGCCTCAGGCTTCAGAGATCCTGGCCAAAATGTCAGAAATGGTCCACAGCCGGCTGAAGCAGGGCCAGACAGTTGCTCAGAACAACCCAGCGGCCTTCTTCCCCTCTGGGCCGACTGCACCGACAGCCACCGCCACTCCACCTCACAAAGGAGCCACCTGCTTTGAGTGTGATATCACCTTCAACAACATCAACAACTTCTATGCACATAAGAGGCTGTACTGCTCCAGCAGGCACCAAGGAGAAAGTGCAGCCTCAGCTTCAGGCTCAACAAGAGATGCAGCCCCAGCCACAGTGCCTTCCAGTGGGGCACATGGCTCATCCACATCCCCTCAGGGTGGAGCTTTAAGTAGAGCTGCCTCTGCCTCTCCAACTGACTCTGAGCCTCCTGCAGGAAGTGGCGCAGCAGAACCCAGAAGGGTGGTGGAAGTGAAGACAGAAACCCCAGTGGGCAGAGATGGAATATCATCCTCCTCAGAAGGGGAAGGTGGAGGTGGAAGTGTGGGAGGAGGAGGTGGAGGAGGAAGAGCAAGTGAAGGCAGCCAGAGTCCTGCAAGTGGTTCTGCAGAGGACCTTGAAGACGATCCCAACAGAACCTTCTGCGAGGCCTGCAACATCCGCTTCAGCCGTCATGACAACTACACTGTTCACAAACGATTCTACTGCGCTTCACGCCACGACCCGACCAACCACAGAGCTGTACACATGGCCAAGACGACCAACGCAGCAGCCTTCCTGCCCCAGCCCATCCGCACCCGCAAGAGGAAGAAGATGTATGAGATTCACATGGCCAGAACTGAAGCCTTAGCCAACGCTGCTGCTGCCGCCGCCGCTGCCGCTGCAACCGCCTCGGCGCCATCTCCCTCCATTCTGGGTTTGGCAGTGAAGCAAGAAGTTTCTCCTGGTGGTGCAGGCAGTTCTAGCCCTGAAGGAGACGGTCCAATCGACCTGAGCAAGAGGCCTCGTCTGAGGGAAGTCCCACGGCACGGAGGCAGCAGCAGCCTTCTCCCGGCTCTGCCTCTTACCGACTACCACAAGTGCACCGCCTGCAGCATCAGCTTCAACAGCATCGAGAACTACCTTGCTCATAAAACCTACTACTGCCCCGCCACCACCCTCCAGCCCCACACCCTGGAGCAGCTGCATAGGCTCAAGAGATCAGCCTCTACCTCCCCTAAAAGCAGGCCTCAGCAGGAGCGACCGGATCTTCTGCACCCTGTGGAGGCTAAAGCTCTACCCGCTGAGTGGGTTGCCCAAGCTCAAGGCACGTCATCCAGCCCTAACCCCTCTGCCTTACCCGCCTCCGACGCTACATCTCCCTCGCATACGACCGCCGTGCTTGCTGCCACTCCAGCAGCTGGAGCTAAAGGCACAGGGTCAACTCAGGTGGTCTGTCCATACTGCCCCAACAGGCCCATCACCTGTGACCTGATGGAGCACTTCAAGACCACCCACGGCCTGGTCGTAACCATTCAGCCACCCCAGGAGACCCTCCCCCAGCCGGGCAGCGCAGTCAGCCGCAGCCCCAGCCTGAGTCCGAGGGACGGAGCGTCTGCAACCACCTCCACCACCCCGACCAACCAGGCCAGATTTGTCTCTCGAGTTCACCGAGACAGCATCAACGGACAGGCCAGGAGCGGCACAACATCCCCTGTCTCCCCCCTGGTAAACGGCAGCCCCTCAGCTGGGGGTGGATCACCTTCAGCTGGCTCTCCTCTGCCAGTGTCCCCCCCCAGGGCTCCCTCTCTGACTTTGTCACCTGTGCCTGAGGTCGTGAGGGTGAAGATGGAGTCATCCCACCTTCCCGACAAGTCCGCCCAGACCCCGACCTCCCATCCCACCCCCCAGCCTGCCCCCAAAACCCCGGTGATCTCCCCCGTCCAGAACGGTAACTCCCGCTTCTGTCGGCTGTGCAACATCAAGTTCAGCAGCCTCTCCACGTTCATAGCTCACAAGAAATACTACTGCTCTTCCCACAGTGCCGAACATGTCAAGTGAGCTTCCTCCTTCCCGTTTTTTCATCATTTATCTGAGTGGAAGTTTTCCTTCACTAAAGTTTCCAGAAGCTCAGATGGTCCTCCGAAAACGACGCTCGGCTGGCGTCACCATGAATGACAGTGAATGACTGTTACTCACCTGGCAGGGCCTGATGCCCGGCAGCAGAATTAGCAGGTGGTGTTACTCACATACAGTAACTGATACTCCTTCTATGGGTCAACGTTTGTAGTACACTACGAGCTGATGCTACCTGCACACACTGATGTGCCCTCGTCCCGTAGATCACTCTGTCTTCGTACACCAGTCCCTGATCCTACATGAACCACTCCCAGGCCTCAGTATGTCACATTAAGGGACGTTAAAAAAGATCTATGTCAACACCTTCCCCTCCCCCCTCCCTGTTGAACTGAGTATATAACGGCAGTAATTAGATTCTGACTGACGATGCTGATTTTCCCGCGCCCTCGATGTTTCAGACCTAAACGGAGGAAATCTCTGGCGTGGAAAAAGACTTGATCATTGTTAATGTTTTTATTATCTGTGCATAGTGTATGATGTCTGAAAAAAAGAATTCTATAATGCTTTTTGGTTTCAACACTGGCTCTTTTTTGCTTACTAGAGAAGCTGGAGCGTTTTTAGCTGAAAAAAACAAAAAAACAACAACACGTGGCATCACAATGTTACTAATTACTGAAGGATAATATTTCAAAAAAACGGACTGTTTTTTCTTTTCTTTCATACACACAAAATTTTTATTTTCTCTTTAAAACGCAAGGGAGAAAAAAAATGTGAAATATTTATCTTTTAGTCCTCACTGATTTCATGTCAACAGAAAACTACCTACCTAGTGTCTGAGAGTATTTGTATTTTTTATTTGTATATTTTTCATACTGTTGGAAGGAACTGTTTGGATCTGGGTGTGTTGAAGTGAATTTTCTAAGTGTAGATATGTAATATCTTCTCACAGTAATCACTGGGATCACACTGAACTCACGTTGGCATTTTTGTGTTCTGCTCATTGTAGGTTTTAATTGATGGTCTGAAAACCAGCTTTATCTTGATCTCCTCCTGTACCTCGCTGATTTGCAACAGGTTACACAAAATCCACGTCTGTCTTTTGTTCGCGGCTGCTTCACCTCATAAGGACACAGCTTTGTTTGTTGCTAACTGCCACTTCCGACCGATGCTAAGGGATTTTTTTTTAATGATTGTGCTTCTATCCGGCAATGAAGGCAAAGCGGCGAACAGTCACGTTAGTGTGAGACCTCGTACAGTAGAGTAAGAACATAGGTAATCATTTCTTATGGCTGTTGCGTGTTTGACTCATGCACCCATACAGTTTACGCCACATGTTCCCGAGCTGCTGTTGCATTACAGTGTTAGCCACAACTGTGAAATGCTTTTTTCTTTTCACAATAATAATGCAAACCAACCACCTTATGTTCTTTGAAAGGCCTGAAATTTAACGCTGCCCTTAGCCAAACCTGCACCTGCATGCTGAGTTCATCACATATTCTCAGGATTTTATCAAGCTTCTAAAACAGAATTTCTACCTTCCCGAGACACTAAATCTCTGAGTTTAGAGGTCATTATGGTGGCAAAATTTTGGACCCAATCTAAAACCAGCTTTCACAAAGTTTCACAAATCAGAGACCCGGCTTGATAAGGACACAACTCAGCCTCTAAAGGCCGTTTCATTGTCAGTATACATGTCCACGTATGCAGACTGAAGGATTATGAAAAATCAAACGGCACAGAGGCGATAGAGGTGTGCTTGCGTACCGCCCTCCAAGGAGACAACAATGCATCACCCATCGGTAAAGACGCTAGGCGCAGATCAACTGCAGATTTGTAACGCAACAGAAGTACCAGTAACGCTCTGCGACGTCAGTCCTTTAGTTTACTACTCTATAAGTTCTGCCTTTAAAAGGACCAACAAAAGCATAAGGAGCAGCTACAGTTCCAGTTGTTCCACAGATGTTTGCCTCCTTGTGGCAGCAGACAGCTACAACAGGTGGAGAGAACACAATCAGGCAGCAACAAGATGCGCTAACAAGCCCCTACAATATGAAACGGTAGTAATACAACAATAACCAGAACGAGGACGTCTTCCTCAACCAGTTTACATCCAAGACATGTAGAGAAGATTTGGAAGGGATTGTAGACGTGGGAACCCAACATTCAAATCAGTATTTGTGAGTCGGTAGTGAAGCCCCCTAACCAAAGTCTTTTACATTTCTTGTCAGCAGTGCAGCATTAGAACTCATTTTAGCTCCGTTTTGGTCTCCACCACCTCCTGAGAAAGCAGCTAAATGCTCCACTGTGTTCACCTGTTGGTAGCTGCTGTCTGCCACAACGGTACAGCCGATATCAGACTCTGTTACGGACAGCGGAGTTGTTTTAAATTCTACTAATTTCTCATCCGTTTCGAAGTACATCGTCCATACGTGCACAGAAAATCGGCGTCTACGTATTCTGTGAATGCGCTCTGCTGCCATGTAGCGTCGTCGCTGTGCGGGTACAAATTTTGGGCTAAAAATGGGACTCAGATGCTAAAATTAATTTCACTAAAACCCTAGCAAACGCTCGAAATAAGCAAATTATTACTGTTTTAAAAGATACAGACTTTAGCTGTAGCGATTAAAAAGTTTTTGTACTTTCAGGTACTTTAGTGCTCCTCTGCCTTTCGAAAACCTGAGATTATGTAAAATAGCTTCTTCACAAGTGGTTAATTTATCGAAGCCAACTTTTGACCCCATTTCCTTTGACTGCACGCAAACATGGAGGATTTTTAGACTTTATTCCGATTTTTTTGCTTCATTTCCGCTCATTTACTACTGTTTACAATCGTGCTGGTCCATTTCTCTCCGTTCTTAGAAGAGGAGAAGAAGAAGAAGAAGTCAGACCCGTCAAATAGTCACAAATTGAGGAACTGAATGCTGAAACATCCTCCCCTAAACGTCCCCTTTTCATTGCACTGTGTTGTATAAAAATGTGCTGAATGTTTTAGTTTTAGCTCCTTTTTTTTTTTTTTTTTGTCATGTATTTATGTTGTGCGGCACTTTTTCCCGTCCATAACGCATCATCGCTCGACCTTGAAGGACTTTCGCATTAAACTTTTTTTTTTTTTTTTGGTCTAAACATGTTTTTGTCAATGATTCCTTTGACGTCTTTAATGGAGAAGAATCACAACGAATGTCAACACTTTTTATTTCCATATTTTTTTTAATTTCAGTTCCACTACACTCTTGTCCAAACTATGCATGGGAAATAAAAAAAAAAGTTCTGAGAGACACTGATGAAAAGCGTGAGTCTGATTCTTTCTCGTGGCCTCCGTCTTTTCTGTGTTTCCGCCCACGCCCAACCTGAGTGGAAGACCTTGACTCGGGTTTGATTCACGGGTTTGCTCATAAAATCGCCGCCTTTCACAAGAAACTTTCCAGTGTGTGGATTCTGTTTAATGCGGCCGTCGAAGAAAAAGCGGCTGAATGAATCATCGGCTTTGCCTTTATGATATGAGTAACGGCAGCAGAGAGGAGAAAAGGCTTTCTGTGCTCATTCAGAGCTCCAAGGCTGCTCCAATCAATGGGAAAGTGCACCGTCAGAAAAAAAAAGAAAAAAGCAACTCGCAGTTTGCCTCCACCGTAGGTTAATTGATGCAGATTTACCTTCTCATCCTGTGATTAACTCTTCAAATTCAAATTATGGGATGTGAATTAACCTCTCCTAATTGCACCGAGCTGCTCTGAGCTGGTCTTAACGAGTCAGCTCAACACAACAGTACGACTTTAATCCACATCAGGCTGCAGCAATGCGTCAACATTAGATTAATCTAGACACCAATCGAGAACATTTTTAACTGATTTGTATCAACAGGAACCTAAACCTGGTTCTTTGCTTCTGTCTGCTGTCTTCTGTGTTGTCAATTTGAACAATTCACTGAATACGTGCAGCAGCTTCAGTCAATAATTGATTGAAGCTCACATTTTATTGGTGTTTTTGACTGAAAATGTCATTTTGATGCACAATGAAAGTTTTAATTGAGCCTGACTTGATTAAATACAAGTGCACTCGTTGGATGTCATGAACCTCCTCAGAGTTTCTTTCATGGTCCTGTTGCTGCTAAACTCCCACAATGCCCTCTGCTGCCAACATGAACTGTAGTTTATGATTTCTTTAACTATTTTGCAGCAAACTCGAAGTAAACGTTCAGTAAACATAAGGCTTGTAAGACACAAAGCAAATTTAGTGCAGTAGATGTTACACCATATAGCTACTTTCAGTAACAGAAACATGACATAAGTCGCTAGTGTGGATTATTTACATGCGTTGTGCTACAAATACGCCGTCCTACGGGACTGCGTTTAGTCTTATGAATGTGAGCTTTGATCGGTATCCATTAATCATCACAGAAGTCTTTGTCATGGTGCCCCTTTGCTACCTAAACTCCAACTGCTTGCCGACCTGCATGTTCTCTAAGTGACGCCTCCTCTGGTCTCTACAGTACTAAACAGTGAGAGGCTCCACCTGGTGGAACAACCAGGTACTACAGCTGATCTACAACAATGTTATCACAGGTGTACCAACATTAATTGCCAACTGTTTTAATTATTGAGTAATTAAGAAAAAAGCGTTATTAATTCTGTGATTTCAGCTTCTTAAACATTTCCTTGTTTCTTTCCTCCTCCATGACAATAAACTGAAGATCTTTGAGTTGTGGACAAAGATGTCGCTCGTCTTCTGAGGTTTTAGGAAACACTGTTCTACAAATCCTGGATATTCTGACTTTTTTTTCCTTCTTTTTTAAAATCAAAATACAAGAAATGTCCTAAACAAGTTTTTTTTTTGCCACTTATTGGAGTCATTTAATGTTTAATATCTGCTGATACCATTTTCCTACCTGATAAACACATCAGATAAACTAAAGGTATTAAAACCAAATACAACAATATTAAAAATCAATCCTGTAATTTTACAGTCTTGTTTTGTGAAAGAACTAATTACTGTTTTCAAAAATACTAAAAAGGATTTCCAGTAAGTCAGTGAATGATGTTCTTATTTATTATTTGTTCTTTACTTCCAAACACCACCAGAGCTGCAGATGAAAGAGTAAAACACCTACACACCATAATAATAAGATTAAAAGTCAGATTTCTGAACTCATCCTCCACATTATTATTCTTTACAGAATTTGTGTTTTTTATGAGCAGCTTCAGGGACGACGTCTGTAATTTCATTAGACAGTCTTGTTTTGCATGATGATAATTATATTAATGATAATTACACTGAATAAGAAACTTACAGCAGTTTGTTCATAATTACAGCATTAATCCGGTCGTTCCGAATGCCAGGCAGTGATCTCATTAAGCCTATTTACTTTTTATTTGTGCTGCAGCAGCTCTGTTGCTGAAACCGTCACTTTCATGTGAAGCTTCACATCCACATTCATGTTGATTTACTGATCTGATAACCAGACTAATCTGACTGTAGCTGTTTAGAGAAGCCAGATCACTAAATTAGTTCCTGGGTATGCTGGACTTTCTCCGTGGAAACAATCAGAGGATCGTTCTGGGTCAAACGTTAGTTACAGAACAAGTGACAAACGAACCAACGGCTCTGTTTTACCATCTGAATGTGTAAAAGTCTCACTTCTGACTAACTGTGGCGTCGCACAATAGGTGCAACGTTTCACTAAATGACACATGGATGTCGCCAACAGCACAATGGATTTGTGCGTCTGTTCACTCATTGACAAACAGTTGATGTGAAAGAAAACTTTTTGTCCAAAGCGCTGACGGATCCTGAGTCACAAATCACAAACTTTTTACTTTCAGTTTGAAGTGCAGCTGCTCCCACAAACCAGAAACTGTTCAGAGACGTTCAGAGTCTGTTTGTAATTGATGGTAGTTTCATATATTTTATAGAAATCTGGACTCTGAACCGGACATCAGATTATAAAACAGGACAGCAAACATCTTCCACAAGGGATCCAGATGTTTAACAAGGTGGCTCAGTGGTTAGCATCATCGCCTCACAGCAAGAAAGTCGCCAGTTCACGGCCCAGTGAGGACACCCAGGATCTTTCTGCGTGGAGTCTCCATGTTCTCCTCGTGCAGTGTGGGTTCTCCAGGTTCTTCCCACAGTCCAGAAACATGTTGAGGTTAATTGGTGACTCTAAATTGTCTGTAGGTGTGAATGTGAGTGTGCTTGGTTGTCTGTCTCTAAGTGTAGCCCTGTGATAGACTGGTTACCTGTCCAGGTGAACCTGCCTTCACCCTGAGTCAGCTGGGATAGACTCCAGCCCCCCATGACCCTGGTGAGGATTTAGGTGTAGAGATGATGGATGGAGCTCCAGAACTTTCCATAACTATTCAAACCTTGAAAATGTAAAAAAAAAAAAAACACACAAAACAAACAAATTTGCCATAATAACTTAAAACGTGTTCAGAATCACTCTAAAGTTGTCAAAATTGTCCAAAATTACTTAAACATTGTCCGATTGGACTCATGTCACTATTGTTCCACGTCAATAGAGCAAAAACCTGGAACGTTGTCTGGTCCAGCTTCACCACATCAGGTTCTACTGATGTTAGAACCTCAACAGGTGGTGAAATGTGACCAGAGACTGGATTCTAGTAGAACCATGGATCCATCCATAGACAGACACTGACAGGAACCATAGCACTCTTCTTCATTGACAATTTTGCTCTTTCTTCCATTTTCAAGGTAACTGAAACTTCGTCCTCTGTTGGATCCATTTCGTCGTTTAGAAACTCTTCTGTCTGATTCTCACCACAGGTCTTGTATTTAGAAGTTCTATTTCTGAGCTGATGCTGATGTTTTTCTGAGGATGAAAATACCAAAATTCTCAGCTGTGAGGACGTGAAATTCTCAAAATGTGGTCACAATATTTTACAGAACTTAGTTTTGGATTCCAAATATCAAACCAGTGACCTCTTGCTGGTGATAAAGTGAATAACGCTGCTGCCATGTTATCGTCAGGTTAACGGACCTCCTGCTCTGATCGCTTCCTCGTGGAAACATCACCTCTGTGGGTTTTCCTCGTCTCTCCTGCCACTTGGCTGCTGGACTGAACTGATTTTTTTCTGTGCAAAATTGAAAAGAAAATGTCTTTTCACATCATTTCATGCTTCTGTTGTCATGGAGGCAGATAAGTGGCAAATATCAGCCAATCAAACTCTCGTGAAGGTGTTTGAGCCGCCGGGTGTTTTCAGCTGCACTCGGCCGACCTGCTGAGTGAATTCTTCAGTCAGAAGTGCGCGGCTTTAATGGCCTCTCAGCGCCACAGAAACCTGGTTTTTGCTCGTGTCGGTGTGTTTCAAAGCTGAATCGCTGACATGTCCGGTGGCTGACAGCTGGAGTCCTCCGTCAGCAGCCGCTTTCCAACCGTCACCGAATCAAAGTGACAGGATGCAGCTGAAAACGTGTCATTTATTTAAAGTGATGAAACCTACATTCAAAAACAGATTCAAACACGTGAGAGAAAACAGTCGACGGTGTGAGAGTGGCTTTAAGTGTGCAGGCTGGATGGAGGTTTTTAAAGAGCCTGAAGGGACTTCGCCGGCTTCTCGTGCACACTGTGGCCTCTGTCTTTTCAACAGGGAAGCGTTGTTGCGCGTGAACACGGCGTTCCCTGAAAGCAGCACGACGCCGCTGCAATAAAGACGTATTAAGGAGTGAAGCAGGAGGTCAGCCGGAGTCTCAGGCGGAGGTTGATGCCGCAGATACAGAACACGAGGAAAGATCGCGCCGGATACTCGACAGCACCGTGTCACAAAATCTGATCTGGATGGCAAAGGCGCTCGACTGTGACGGAGCCAATCGCAGCCGCCGACAAGACAAGAGCGGCCAAGCGTGACGGACTGTTGGATGAAAAGCATCCCATAATGTGGGAGACGACGGCTGCCTGTGTCACAACATGTCCAACAATACAGGGACGAGAAGCTGCTTTATCCCCACTTTTACTGCTTTTCAACACTTAATTGTGGTCAATTTAATTTGGCTTTTTTGACAAGAAATTACCCCCAAAAAAGACTCTTTAATGCCAAAGTGGAAACAGATTTCTACAAAGTGATGTCAATTAATTAAAATAATAAAATGAGTCATTGCATAAACAAGGAGTCGTCTAATTCAACACAGGTGCAGAAAGTTGGTGCTACAATGACTGAAATAAAGACCAGTCACCAGGAACCAAAAAGAAAGACACATTAAAAAGGATCATATTGACTCTGGACCAGAGTTCACCAGAAGACACGTGCGAGACTCTGAAGTCAACTAG